AAAACTGATGACGCCAAGGTATCAGAAAAGGGTAGACTATCTCCTAAAGCTGGACATGTTAAACGTTCCCCATCAGATGCAGGACGCAGCAGTGGTGATGAATCCAAAAAGCTTCCCACAAGTAACTCTAGAACAGCTGCTGCTAATGCTAATACATTCGGATTTAAGAAACAGAGTGGGTCAGCCGTAGGCATGACTATAATCACTGCCAGTGGGGCAACTATCACCAGTAGATCGGCTACCCTGGGAAAAATCCCAAAGTCATCTGGACTCATGGGTAGGACCGCTGGTCGGAAGACTAGTGTTGATGGCTCACAGAACCAGGATGATGGCTACTTAGCACTTAGCGCCCGAACTAATCTTCAGTATCGTAGTTTACCCCGGCCCAGTAAATCCAGTAGCAGAAGTGGAGCTGGGAATAGATCTAGCACAAGTAGCATAGACTCCAACATAAGCAGCAAGTCAGCTGGGTTGCCTGTCCCTAAAATGAGAGAGCCTGCCAAGGTAATCCTTGGAAACTCTCTGCCAGGATTAGTCAATCAGACTGATAAAGAGAAAGGGATTTCGTCTGACAACGAAAGCGTGGCCTCATGTAATTCTGTTAAAGTGAACCCTGCATCACAGACTGCTTCTAGCGGAGCTCAAAGTACTCACCAGCAAGGAGCCAAGTACCCCGATGTGGCCTCTCCCACTTTGCGCAGGTAGGCAACAAATTCGTTGATTGTGCAATGATGTTAGTCGGAGCTGAATGATCAGGACTCTTCGAGCCAGGCCTGGCTGTGTTTTGTGGAGCACTTACTATTTAGTGTCCTGCATCAAGGTCTTTGTATTTGCCTTTAATTTCACGTAAACAGGTTGGCCAGTGTTGTAAATACTCAGTACGTCACATGAGAACACCAAAAATTTAGCATTTGGGAAAAAAAAACACTGTCTGGCAGAAAGCTTGGCAGTTGTGTTACAAAAAAATCTTACCTAAAGGCTTTATCCATGCAGTTATCGCAGGAATATTCACATTTCTTATGTGAAGGTTACTGAAGAGTTCTTGCACTAATGTATATGTAACAAGCCTGGTAATACTCCAGTGGTGGATCGAATTGTAAATTGACAACAGGAGAGTTATTTCAGATTTTCATGACAAGAGCGGCATAATTTGACCTGCCATACGTAGATTCACGTGCCTAACCCAAACCGATCTTTCAGTTGTGTGGATTAGGCTAGTGTGTTGCGAAGACTCATAACATCAGGTTATTCGGCTGTATAGAAGAACCCTAAGTAAAGTTACTGTCTAAGCTGGGTTGAATTTTCTTATTTTAATAATATTTTTTAAACAAAAGTCTTTTTTGTCTTCTATTTCTCCACCACTACCTCACACATTATTTTAACATCAACATTGAGTTGGTCAGGAATTAGTTTGTTGATGCAGTATGCGTCAAAGCCTTGATATTGATGAAAGGTTCTGTTAATATTATTTTTCAATTTAATTTGACATTGAGTAGCTTGTCTGTTTCAAGTTGCGGTGTTTTGCATTTCATTTTGTCTTGACGCCCATAATACCCATACAGTTATGCTACATCATCCTGCTTCCAGTGATGTGAGAAAGCCACATTCCATCTGAAGCACCAGTGCAAGCGTAATGGCTGTGATGGCAGCTTAGGCTAACGCTGTGAAGAGTTGTAAACTGTTTCTTTTTAGATGGGTGGTTTTATTTGAAGAGCCTATGCAAGGCTAATTCAAGATACTTCATTTATTTTAATCCCAATTATCATTAGATAAGCCATGTCCTTTAGAATGATGACTTAATTTTGATCAATGGCTACTTAAAAAGAAAGACTCCAATATATCTTTCATTTCTATAGCGTACCCCATGAGAAATGCAGATTTTCAGTGTTGTAAGTCTCGGGCGCATAAATCTTGAAATTTGATCGGAAATTTTTTTTGATTACTAGAAAGCCACGTTGCTAGCCTTGTAATTGAAATACTACATTAGAAATACATGAAACTTCAAAGAGAAGACACTGAGGCTCGATTTAACTGTGCCCTCATTTGATTTACAATTTCACTCTTGAATTTTTCACCAGAATGTCTAAATATTCATGTATTGAAATGCGTCAGAGTTGAACTGGGCCGTATCTACTTACTACTGTTCTCTGGAATGACAGTTAAGAGGATTTTGAGCTCAGTTCTGGGTCAGTTGAGACAAGTTGCACACATTGTTTTTTGCATATTTCCTCTTGGCCCTGTAATTTTTTAATATTATCAAATTGATTAGAACCCATACCTCTGTAATGATATAGATATACCTGTAAGTCTCCAAACATACATAACTTCTACGCTGTCATAACCAGCGGAATTGTATAATTCCGCAATGAGGGCCACCACTGTCTCTGTTCTCTCAGTGTTCCCTTTAGCTCCGGTATTATGTATCTGGCACATCCCTCAAGTGAAACCATCATTTGTCTTGATACTTTTTATTATTACATTGAGCCCTTGTGCTTTGCAATATGTAATACACTGCTTTTCTGTTAACGGAGACATGGAGGAGACATGCGTGACCCAAGAGCCAACTCAGATATGTCAGTCTTGTCAATAAACAGATGTCCTTCCTTGCAGGGTGTGTCCTCCTTTGTAGGGTATGTCCTTCCAGAGTTAACCTCTGTAATGATGTGACTGTCTCGCTGGGTTGGATTTTCTCCGGACTGAAAGGAATGCTCTCCAGCCCGCATCCTCTTGTGAAGGCGTTTGTTTTGAGGTTGTGGTTCAACCAGACGCCGCCTTTGGCAGCAACACGTTTCTGTTTGTGCCGCAGCGTAGCATCTCATAGCGTTATTGGAGGTGCTGTGAAACAGCGTGGTGAAGACTGCATAGCTTAAAAACAACTTGTAAAACTGTTGTGTGGGTGGTTGGGGCTTTTTTAAGCTCTAGGACCCTACCTCGAAGAGTACAGTTCCCCCAGTACAACTGGAGAGGTGGTATGCAGTGGCATAGGAGCAGGAATTTAGGAATGCCCTAAGCAGAAGACCATGTATCGTTGCAATATGGTTTGACATTTTTCTTCATACTCGCTCTAATGACGTTATTTCTAAATAAAACCTAGACTCTAAATGTCTCTAAATCCAAAATAAGAATGGGTTTTATCATTCAGACTGACCTAAGTCAGCGTCTCCTGATCAGTGAGGTGTGGTGTCCAGGTGAACCAAGTCTGCCAGATTTGTGCAGGTTTCTGAGTGTCTGTCTGCACCAGGTGCTGAGAGGATCATGGCACAGAGCAGTGCTGGATGAGGAGGTGGATGTAGGTTGGCATCTTAGCCCCATCGAGCAGTGTTGTCCAGGTGCTCTGTGGCCAGTATGCGGCCGCAGCCATCCAGCCGAGATGTGTTCCAGGCATCTTGCACAGGTACACTGCAGCTGCAGGTAGCACCCACCCAGTCAGCACGGTGCTTCTGGCCATGGCTGGACTTACTGCACGTCTGCTGTAGGGTGCCCAGCTGTATGACACAGCCTGTGTTTCTGTGAAGTGTTGGACAAAGTGACTTCATGTGCACGGCTGGTACAGACGACCTGGGCGTGCTCAAAAGCAGAGAGGGGTTCTGCGCGGTGCGTACCCACCCATAAGTCTTTAGGAGCTCTTGTATTGAAGTGCTGTAGACCTCTATTCTGAGGACTACAGTCCAGCAGATGCCTGCCTTGAAAGATTTCATCTCCAATTCTCCACACTGTTAATAAGAAAAAAGCAAATCCATGTAGGTATGCGTGAGGAAAGCTGAGGTTCCAAAGGCAGTCACAGGAGCTAAGTGGAAGAAACAGAAGCAACGTTTGGGGGTGGTTGTTTGAAGCTAGAGTGAAAAGATACACTTCCTTCATAATTTTTAGGATCAGTTTTAGACTGATAATCTGGTCTTAAGCATGTTTACTTCTAAGACGCTTGTGCACTTTTGGCAGAAGTCATGCAAACTGGAGAAGCTGCAGTCATCCTCCGCCAACTGTGCTCTTAGATCCCCTCCCTTGCACTAGTTCTGGCACTCAGCTAGTCTTCTGCTGAGCCAGGTGCAGGTGCCAAACCAGGTAAAATCTCATTCTACACTTCAAAAAAATAGTTTCCAGCCAGCTTGGCTCCTGAAATGGCACAAACCTACATTTGATATCGGGAAATATTTTTCTTGTAACATTCCAGCAAACGCTGCTTCTGTGCAGAGCACCCAGTGATTTGCACAGAATTTGCCTGGACAACAAGCTTTTCAACCTCTAATACTCCGTGCTTCGGATTAATCAATGCGGTGTTTCTCTGGTATCCATTTTCCATAAGGAGCACGAGACGATACGGCTGTGTTTTCGTTCCGTGAGGCTGTATTTTAGCTTTGTGAAAGTAGTATGTGATGATTCAGAGAAGACACACCTAAGACAGGTTTGAAGCTATCTTAATTCTCCAGGCTTTATTGAAGGCAGCGTGAAGGCAAGGAGATTCGTAAATTTATAGTTGCCTATGTCCAATCTAGGATCATTTACTTAATGTTGGTTTTCTGAAGCTAACAAGATATAAAATATCCTTACATTTAATATTCCATTTTATGAATTTTTCGTGTTATCTTTTTTTACAGACTTTTTGGTGGCAAGCCTAGTAAACAAGTTCCCATCACAACAGCTGAAAATATGAAAAATTCGGTAGTCATCTCCAATCCTCACGCTACTATGAACCAGCAGGGTAATCTCGATTCACCATCGGGCAGCGGTATGCTGAGCAGTGGGGGCAGCAGTCCTCTGTACAGTAAAAACACAGATATGAACCAGTCTCCACTAGCTTCTAGTCCCAGTTCAGCACATTCAGCTCCTTCCAACAGTTTAACGTGGGGTACCAACGCAAGTAGCTCTTCTGCTGTTAGCAAGGATGGCATTGGATATCAGTCTGTCAGCAGCCTTCATACCAGCTGTGAATCCATTGATATCTCTCTGAGCAGTGGAGGTGGGCTGAGCCATAACTCCTCCAGTGGCTTGATTCCAGCCTCTAAAGATGATTCTCTGACTCCTTTTGTCCGAACCAACAGTGTTAAGACTACGTTGTCTGAAAGGTTAGTAGTTTTTTTCTCTCGTATCCATTAAGCTTGTATGTATCTCAAATGTGAATGAAGTCGTGGCAGCAGTAGCCAACACTGTAGATGCAGAATCAAGCTGTGCTTCTTACACGATAATACTGAAAGGTATTACTGGAACATGCAAAGAAGACGTTCCAGGCTAGAAGCCCAGTCCAGAGCAAGAGGGTGGGTTCAGGTGAGGTTTTTAATTTGCTGTGGTAGCCAATGTGACAACTTTTCTTGCCACCATGTTATACCTAATATTTGAATTTTGCATCATATATTATCCACCCAAGTTGATCTGATAGTGATATTCAGAAAAAACTCCAGCATTGTTATAATTTTGATTTGAGAAGCCAACTGTTTCTTGTTAAACTTCATGTTTGTAACATTCGAGAAGCTTTTAAACTGGAAATCATGCTGAAAAGAGAAGTCCCTGTCTCCCCAGTCTCTTGATCCCTTCTCAGCCTCTCCCTGCTGCCCTGTCCCATCTCCAGCTGCTCCCTACAGGTACAGGCATTCGTGTGAATGCTTAGTGAACCCGACTGGGAGATGAATCCATCTGAAAAATGATCACCTGAATTGTATTTCAGACTGATCAGTTCCCCAGCTCCGTAAACGGTGAGATTCATCGGTATCTGTGTGGACACAGAGTAGGAGCTGGGAACAACCTGAGCAGGGAGGAGGGAACAGGACTGCTTTTTCAGCATCGGAGCTGTATTAACGGCACAGGGAGCTAACGTTGGGATAAGCCAGACAATGACTTGCAGTGCATGCTCTCTGAGCGGCCTTTTGTGGAAGGCGGTAGTAGCCCTGCAAGCATTGGAAATCGGCTATATCCTGCTGCGTAATTACTTTGTCAAGTAGCAGTATTTTTGTAGTTGCATCTCGATGGAAAAAAATTACTGCTGACTATAATGTTCTGACAGCTTGGGTTTCTGTTTGTGTTTTATTATAACTCCTTTCTGTTTTCTCCTCTTTTCATTCTAATATTCCTTCTCTTGTTTTCTGTCTCGTTGGACTGATTCTTCTAGCCCTCTTTCTTCCCCTGCTGCTAGCCCCAAATTCTGCCGAAATACTTTGCCCAGGAGACAGGACAGGTAATGCTGTCTCAGGACAGGAGTATGCACAAGGCTGTAGGTTTTGTTGCCCATCTCGGTGAAGCAAATTGTTTTGTGACAGACTCTGCTCAGTTGAGTCCTCTGCTGTGTTCGTCGTTGAGGTGTGAACTGACTCAAAGACATGCCAGTGAGAGTCCCCTCAAACACCCCACCCATCTACCTAAATCAATCCGGAGAACGGCATATGGCAGGGTTGGCATGTTTTTGGTGTTGCTCTTGTTACTGGGAACATCTTTTGGTTTGAGGGGGTATTTTTTTCCTCCCCCCTCATTTCTTTGCCAAAGGCAATTTGAAAACCTTGCTATTTTTTTTTCTACCGATCTAAACTCTCACTAGCATTTCAGCATTCCTCTGGCATGCTGCTTTTCCCACTGCCTTTCGGGCCTGTCCTTTTTGTCGTGAAGTCCCCGTGTCATTCACTGTCTTCAGTCTTTTACTGCAGTTTGGCTCATGAGTGTTTTGCAGAGACTTGGGTACATCCACCCTTGTAAAGACGAATGCTAAAATTGGGAAAAGATGACCTGAATGTAAACATTCTAGCTCACTTTGGCTTACTGCTGTAATTTTAATCACTCCCACGCTGTAATTTAACTGTAAGGATTGTCATTAAATTCATTCATTTAAGCACATGGATATTTTCTTTAAAATCAAATTAACAGACTCTGCTTAGTTACAAGTTCATCAAGTTGTAAAAATACAAACTTGAATATTTGGGGTTTGGATGGTTAATAGACTCATTTTATTTAGCTAATGGAATTTAAGCTAAGATTTGGAAATTTAAGCAGTCTAGGCTCAATACTTTTCCTGCTATACATTGCAGCTGCACAACAGCAATTAGCTGCATTCCCTAGATGGTGTCTGCTGAAAGAAATGATGAGAGAGGGGTTTGGACTTGAAGATTCTCATCAGTTTTCACAAATAGTCTGCCTCACGCCTGCTGAAAAGCATATTTTTAAGCATCCATTTGACGTTTCAAGAGCCATTTTTGTTCATTGTGGGTAGGAGAGATAGCAAAACCACGCTGTGAGCAGATGAGATTCGTTGGCATGGTACCAGATGCATGTTTGTGCAAATCCACACCTGGGTAAGGAGGTTTTTGCATGTTTCTGTAGGAAGGCCCCAGCACCTTTTCCTCTGAAAAGGTGATGCAGATGTTTGTACGTCCTTCTTCGTCCTGATCTTATTCCTTCCCTTTTGTTCTCCTCTGAAGTTCTTTTCTTTTAACTTTTCTGCAGCGACCCACATCTTGATAGGAACACTTTGCCTAAGAAGGGACTCAGGTATTGGTGTTTCCACACGGTTTAACAGCTTTTGTTGTGGCTTTGGAGTTTTGCTTTGTGTTTCTGTTGTGGCTGGTGGTGATGGTCGCAGCGTTTGCGAGAGGTGGCAACAATATTGTTCCTTCCTTTCTTTCTCTCTTTCTTTCTTTCTTTCTTTCTTTCATCCTCAAAGAAGGCCGTTGACCGCTGTGCTTTTTTTCATCCAGTGGCTTCTCCGCTTGAGCAAGAACTGTGGCTTTTGCTGGCTGAATTGCTGAAAAGCATCTCATAAACTGTCACTGGGCTTCGCTTGAAAACGATAATTTGTCAGCTTCTATGGCGATTACATTGAATGACTTGAAATCATTTTCACCCTGGGAACCTTGGTGGTGTTTTACAAATAGAAAAGGTTTTCGGTATCATGCCAAACCTTTTAGGATGAGATTGGACATATTAATTTAAAAAAATGTTTGCTTCGGAATACCTAAATATATAAGGCTCTTAGACATAACTTCGACTCTTCTAGAGAAGAACAAAAAATCCCCAAACAAACTTTTGGCAATTGTATTCTCATACATTTTGTATATCTGTAAGGTGGTGATTTTTATAACATAAAAAACCTGCACCGAAAAAGATTTTTTCCATTGATACAAGCAATTCTAGCAGAATTATCAGCATTAGGTGTATTAATTAAATGCTTTAAGTGTTTACAGAATTTACAGAAGATACCCTAGACAATTTAGAAAATTGCAGCTTCTAGGATCACTGAGCTGACGCCTTGAAGTTGCAGCTGCAATTTATTCTGCGCTGTACACGTCGTGCTTCACAGCAGCTTTGTCCCATGAAGCCGAGTGCTAAAAGCCTTTCTTAAAATGGCATTTTGTTTAAAATGTTGCTGTGGTTCTCAAGTATGTCTCTAATAAATAAAGACTCTCTTTTAAGACCAAAACATTTGAGTGCTGAAGAGGTAGGTATTAATGCTGAAAAAAAAAAAAAATCCATAGTGTGTAAAAGTAAAATGACTGTTTAAAGCCCCTTTCTTAAAAAACTGATAGATGTGCAACATTTAAGAGATGCCGATAGACAGGGGCTGTTGCTTAAGTGCTGAGGCATAAGCAGAAGAAAGTAGTTTGAGTTTTTGCAATTTTAATTACTGTAGTGTTTGCATTGATTTAAAAATAGTATTAACAAGTGCTATCTTACTCTAGAGTATTTAGTTGGAGGGAATCGAATTAATTAAATAGATAATATCAACTAATAACAGGCTCCAAGTGGTTAGTTTTTGGAAGGAGAGCTAGTAACTCATAAGTATTTCTCAAAAACACATGGCATAGCGTAAGACAGACACGGGAATCCATCAGCAGACAAGTGTTTCCACGATGCTCTTTCTGGTGATACCTGTTCGCTATCACGTATTTCACGTAACGCCCGTGGTAACGTGCCTATTTTTCAGGCATATACAGAAGCAGATTTAAAACTTCGCTTAAGCCGAAGCCAGCGGGTGTTTTGCCGTTGATGTTGGCATAAACAACCTTTCCGCTATTTTCTTTGCCTTCAGAAAAGGCTAAACGTAGTTTCCTTTATGATGATTTAATGCCATTCATTTTTAACTGAATGGCATACACCTCCACAGACCTTTATATTAATGTCTCTGGAATATGAATTATTGGGTCACAACTTGTTTGAAAATCTGATAATGGTTTTGTTGACTTGAACTTCGTTATAATATGACAAAAAGCACCAAAATATTAAAATAATGATAGAATTTTGGCATAACCTGAGGAAAGGGTTTCCAAATTGGGGTTTTATTTTTAAATCATACACACGTAATGCACACTACATTGTGTTCTGCAGTGCTGTAGGGCACAACTTGTATCTCTAGCTGCTTGTTCACTTCTAGTTTGGTTACTACTGAGTCACAGGAAAGGAGTTTGTGGGGTTTTCTTCCCCAAACAGAGGTGGAATGAATTAAGAACAGCTTAGAACAGCTTGGAGCAGCTCTTTAGTTCAGAATTGTATTGGGTTTATATAATTAATCCTTAGATTTCATATGAGAGTTCTTCCACCTTTCTTTCCCTGTCTCCCTCCCCAAGTCATGTGACATTTCATGGTGGTTTGTTTGGGTTTTTTTTAAGTTTTAAAGAAATGTCAGTTCATTTTGAAAAACTGTTTGTTTTTGCAGGTATACGCCATCCTCCCAACTCCGTAATCAAGAAGATGCAAAAGAATGGCTGCGGTCCCATTCAGCAGGAGGACTTCAGGATACTGCTGGCAATTCTCCATTTTCATCTGGATCCAGCATAACATCACCCTCTGGAACTAGATTTAACTTCTCACAGCTTGGTGAATAATTATCTGTTTGGATAATCATAGCAATACATTGTGTGTCTCAAAAATAGCATATTACACAATATAATTTTCTTTCAGCAGCTCCAAGTCACAGGTTCAACCTCAGGAAGCGCTTTCACTGAAATGTGTGACTAATTAGCATTATTATCTCATATGCCCAAAGGTGGCATACTTGCAGTAACTCTTCGAAAAGACTTCTCTGGGAGTAATCAGATGCCTTAATATAAATTGCGAGCTATTCAGCAGAGCTATTTGTTAATAGCACACATTGGTGTATTTACAGGACTTAAGACGTTGGCTACCTGTTTAGTAATATTGCTTTAAAATCTAAGCATATTACTTGCTATATGTGCCAGTCTCATCAGTCCAAGCTGTTGTAACTTTGTATGTATTTGTCAAGAGGTTTGTTGGAAAATTGCACAAAGCTCAGCCTGAAATATTACATAAAAATTAGAATAATTTTAAGTCAGCAAAAAAGGCCGTTCCTTCAATTCATTGCATTGACAAAAGTAAACGCTTTTTAAATAAAGAAAACGATAAAAGTTGATTGACAGGATCCATAAAGCATTGCAGATTGTAGTTGACCATATCAGCAATTGAAATAAACTAATTTAAAGCGCTAGTAGTGCTCATCTCTGGTGCGAAGATTAAATATTAGTTGCCTTTGCAATTTGTTTAGGTATGTAAATAAATCCTAACAGTATATATATTGTCGTTAAGTGACATTTGGAAAGTACTGTGTCGAACAGATGTATTTTGTTTCTTCTTGACTTTCGGAAGTCCCTCCATCTTTTCTAGAATGATAAAGAAATAGTATGCAAAATAGTTAAGCCTAGACTTGTGAACTTCTTGTGTTGTGTGAACTAGCAGCAGCTTACACGGTCACTTATTTCTAGTGCAGTTTTGAGTTGCAGCAGTGATGTTTTAGAGCCTTTCTTCGAGTGTGCTGAAAGGAAACGGATTAAACAAACAGCTTTAAATAAACTAACACTTAACAAAATTTCAGCTGAACATACACACAGTGTAATTACATTGCCAACAGCTAACAAACTGTCACGAAAGTTCATGAAAGTACCTCAATGGTCAAAAAAAAAAGTAGGCTTAGGCCCAGAAAGTTAACTATGGAGACTCTTGAAGATTACTTACATTACTGAGCTTAAAAAGCTATTTGGCCACAAGCAGTTAACAAACAAACAAAAAAAAGAAATATTTTTCTGTGTGCTTAAGAAAAGAGCTTGAAGATATCTGAGTCAAGAGAGGGCACTGCGTTTAATTTAATATCAAATGTTGATATGAAAGTTAAGCAGCTTTAAACCGAATTACTACATCTTCTACAATAGTCTGTATCAGTTCATAGAATCATTAAGGTTGGAAAAGACCTTGTAAGATCATCAAGTCCAACCTTCAGCCCAACACAGACAATGACAGCACACCAAGAGGAACCTGCCAGTTGAACAGCAATTTTATTGTTCTCTTTTTTTCCCCCAAAATCAACTAGTTCTTAGTAAATAACAGGTATACTTTTAGCACAAAAGTTGTTTTAAAAAATGTGAAACTGGAGGAGATTTTTTGAACTCTAGACAGGGAGAGTATTGGCTTTTGAGGCAAAATTGATATTTCACATTTCTTAGGACTTCATAGTGAAAAGAAACAATTTTGAAATATACAACTATTAGGAAACTAAAGCTCTGAAAATTTGTGACTTAAATACATATAAAAATGACATTTTGGGGGAACCTGAAGCCTTTGAAGGAGATAGTTCACAAGGCCTGTTCTATATAGGCAAAGTATTGGTTTAAATTCCTTCAGGCATTTTAGTCCTCTTTGAGGAAAGACTGTTCCAAATTAAAGGAGGGATAATTAGTTCATGCCTACAGGATGTTAGTGAGTTGACTGAGCTTGTCTGTAGAAGCATAGGCACAGCACCCAGTGTTTAAAATGACTTTACTTGCTTGAGTTTTCTTATTCACTAGCTTGATTTGCATACCTCTTATTTGAATTCATTGAATTTGGAAAAATAATGAAGCCTGGAGAGGATGACATAAAAAATTTGTGTCTTAAAGAAAAAAAAAAAGTTTTTTGGTAGTCACACAAAAATTAGGTATGAAAATTTGTGGTCGCGCAAATAAATTTGTGTTTATTCTTGACTTTATAGCAAGCCCAACCACTGCAGCCCAGATGAGCCTGTCAAATCCAACCATGCTACGAACCCACAGCCTTTCCAATGCAGATGGTCCTTATGACCCCTATAGTGATACGCGCTTCAGGAATAGCTCGATGTCCCTGGATGAGAAAAGCAGAACCATGAGCCGGTCTGGTTCTTTCCGCGATGGCTTTGAAGAAGGTCGGTAAAGTATGTGATGGTGCTGGAAACGATCAGAAGATGGCATTCTCACCAAGTATAAATTTGGTGCCTTTCAGTTCAGCGTAGGGGTCACTTCAGAGCACAGTTCTCTCTGTGTGGAGCCCTCAGTGTTACATAAAACTTTAGTCCTAGTCATCATTGTTCTGATGATACTCGTTCAGTGATCCTTCTGGCCGGATATAGAAAAGTGTGTAAATGTTGTACCTAGACCATCGCTGTTCAAGAAATTGTTTAAACACATGTTTAGTGATGTCAAAATGACTGTAGTTCATGCTCAGAGTTAGCACATTGAAGTGTTTCCTTGAATGGGAGTATTCTCCTGAACCTGGGCCTCCCCACTTCTGTTTGTAGTATAAATAATTGATATCAGACAGACTGTTGTTTCTATCCCAATTAATTTTTCCAGTATTTAATCTGTATTCAAATTGTCTTTACTTTTTATTTCTACTGAATGTCCTGGGTTGATATTACACAGCTTCCACAGAAGGGACATGAGTAGTTCTTCAAAACGTCTAGGCTCTTCTTTTTAATTCCTCATCATCTTTTCAAGTATATAATCATATCTGATAAAAGAAGCCCACGTAAATAGAAGAAGAAAAAGTCAGTTACCTATAAATAAATACTTGGTTTGGTTGCTACTGATAAAATGACCTAAAGGCTGTAGCAGGAGCAGCTACGAGCACACGTTAAAACCCTCAAGTGTTGTACTTTGAGAAGTCAAGCGTGGGATGAGCTCTGGGAGTGGTTCATAGGAAGGTCATAGGAAGCTCTTCCAGTGTTAGCTCTTTGAGTCTTAAATCTCCTTTCTGGCAAGAGCTGGGAGCTTGGTGGGCTATGAAGTAGTTTGTCACTATAGGTCACACAAGCCTTTGCTTGCTTGCTTCCTCCACTGCCGAAGACCTGCACTTACTCAGCAGTGTTAATACCGGTGCCCCGTTGTTGCTGCTCTGCTAGAGCCAGGCATGCATGGGAGCCACGCTTAAGTGTTTGTTGGGGCCTTCAAGAGCCACAACGTGCCTTCCTGGAGAGACTGGTTATCCCATCAATTTTCTGCCATTGGAAGGGATGGAAAATGCGCATTGGATATGGTTCCAGAAAGATTCAGGGCTAATTCATTATTGAATTTAGCCAATCTGACTCCATTACAGTTAATTGTACTTTAGAGGCCCATGGCTGAGGATCTTCATTAGGGGTTGAAAATCATTAGAATACCACTGTAGGGCTGAAAAGTGTGTCATTGCAGGAATTAATCTTTTTTTGTGCCATGCTCTCAGAAGCTGGGTGATCGTGAGAACAGTCAAAGATTGCTGGATACTTAGTCAGTTGAATTCCATTCTGTGACGAACAGTTCTGCTCTTACTGAAGAGTTCCTTAATATAATCTGTGAAGGCATTTAAATCACTGCGTCTGTGTTATATTTGAGTGATTTACCGAAAGAGCTACTACAGCAAAACTTACTCAGGTTTTATTGAAGACATTCTTAAAAAAAATTGTAACCTTAGTCTTTCAAGTGTGCTTAAGATTGCAGCAGTGTTGGAGGTTAAACTGTCTTTTATAATTCAGAAATTCTTGCCCAGGGGAGAGGCTAGTTTGGAGTAATATTTAATAAGTATTACATGTTTGAGGATGAACCATTTTAGAAAAAGGAAAGGAAAAGCGAAGAGTTACGTGGAACGTTCTGCGAAACGCTTTTAATTCATTTAAAAGAAAGTCACGAAAATGAAGTCCAAGAAAACCCTACCAAGGTATGGACTTGAAAGCAGTGGAAAAAGATTAGCTTTGTAAACAAGGAAGGAATTTGACCCTACAGTGTACATGCTGAAGAAGTTCCTTTCAGATTTTCCTAAATTTTTGGCACCTAAGAGGATAATATTTTACCAGCTGGGATGAATGTTTACGTGCAGTCTCCGTATTTTTGTCTTCAGTCACTTCAGTCACTTCTGTGGCCGTACAGGAGGCAGGTACAGCCTGCTTATTAGCTCCTTTATTTCTCAGGGAATCATAAGTTATAAGTGAACGAGTGGTTCTGAATATGGCATGCATGTTGTCCTGTGCTTTCAAACCCATGGATCTAATTCACCTTCACAGAATGAGAGAATAGACCAAAAAGTATGAATACGTCGTTCACCTTCATCTTGAGAGAATAGATCACAAAGTATTATAGAAATTAGATTAGTGGTTAATGGACAAATTAATTTTATACAAATCAGCCAGTGTCAATGAAGCATAAATCCAGGTCTTAAATAAAGCTTACCAACCTACTTCTTAATTATTTATTAGCACATAAGATTACAAGACACTTGTTCCTTACTAACTTCAGCAGGGCCAGGATTTAATCTTAAAAGACTTTTTTTCTTCTGTCTCCACGGTGTGAAGTACAGTCATGTTCTCTCACAACACGGTGTGTAGGTCGAAATGTTAGTCAGCCTTGCCGTACCTAACTCTTGATAGGAAGGGTTTTGAGACTGGAGAGATGCCAGCAGGAGCAGCCTCCAGACTATCCAGAACTTCAGGGGCAAAAGCACAGCCTAAAACTTGAGTGGTCTCTTGACTATCCAATTTATCTGCTTCCCTGGCCATAAGTCTTCTCCAGGAGCTGTGCTGCCTAGAGAGAAAGGAATTAAATTCATTGGCGTTGGGATATACATTTCTATTCTTTTTTGTACTACTGACTGCAATACCTGTTGTTCTTTCTACTCTTTGGACAGTTGATCGTGGCGAGACCGTGTCTTTCCTAACGTTAAACATTATACATGCTTGCATATGCATTTATAGTGCTTTAAAATAATAGCTCCAAAACAATTCGGGTTTGTAGCCTGCAAGCAGATGCATGTTAACTGCAAAAAACAGGAATCACATCAAGAGCATAACTGCCTTCAGGCTCCTAATGAAATAGCCTTAAAGTAGCCATCTGCAGATACTTTAAAAAGAAATTATGCAAAAATATTAACTCCTTAGTTGACCCTGAAACTAGAAATCTCAAATTATATACACATTCAAGTGTAGCAGTGGTGATGTTTTACCAGGCAGGAACATGATTCCCAGACTTATGCTTTTTTTTTCATTTTGAGTCTTCCTTCCTCCTTTAACTTCCCAGTGTGATCTTAAAAATTCCAGTTGATGCTAACTCAAAAATGTGGGTTTCCCAATCCATTGTAAGGAGATTTGTTTCTCCTCTGGCCAGTTGGTATGGTTGCTTTTTTGAATACGTCTCCAGTAGTAAAAACTGCACAAAGGAAGAGTATCGAGAGGCAAACGAGAAAATGATCTTATATTCTCTGTACGAGTCCATCGGTGGCCTTGTGCAATATGGCCTGCACTTTGGGCTTCCCATCTTGAAAAAGGCGGTCCTAAGGGTAAAATGCAGGTAAAAAGAGAAGTGACAAGATCTTAAGTGCATAGTGTCTATGATATGAAGAAAATAGCTTAGGGATCTTCCGCTTGGAAAAATTAGGACTGAAGGGAGGTGATAATATATCATTTAGTACATTATAAAGAGGTTGGCTATCCATTACTTGTCGTATCGCAGGGGTGTGGAGACGCTTAAGGAACTTACTGACTGATTCAGCAGCAGGTCTAAAACGACTGCAAAGAATTAGACTTCTAAACGCGAGAAGAGTTTTTTATCACAGACAAAGCGTATCAGTGGATTCAGAAGCAGTTAAGCAAGTTAATGGTAGAGAGGTCACAGCAACTATGAAAAACAATGGTCTTACTGCAGTTTCCATCTCAGGATTTTCCATCTCTGCTGATTCCCAGCAGAGGCAAAGGTGTACCTGGGGAAAAATCACAGGGTATCTGCC